GTGAGAGAGAGAGAGAGAGAGAGAGAGAGAGAGAGAGAGAGAGAGGGAGGGAGGGGGAAGGGAGGGAGAGAGAGGGGGTGGTGTAAGACTGACGGACAGACAACTATATACCGAAAGATAGTCATACTATTACTGCAGGATACTTTTACTAATTTTTCATCCGCTTTCAACAAAATCGAATCCTACATACATGTAATAGTTTCAAAATTATCATTTAACATAAACATAAACAAGAACATTATAGCTTGGATTTTTTAGTTCTTAACAAATCGACCTCAATATGTAAATTTAAATGGTGTAAAATCCGACCTAATATTCACGAACACCGGTGTGCCCCAAGGTTGTGTAATCTCCCCTGTCTTGTTCACGCTCTACACCAACGACTGTACTTTTGATAACAAACACATCAAACTAATAAAATTTGCGGATGATTCCACTCTACAAAGCCTTATAATAAATGAGAATGGATACAGGGACGCTGTAAATTTATTTACAAATTGGCATGATGGCCAATTCCTATTACTAACTGTAAAAAAGACAAAGGAATTATAATAATTGTAGACTTTAGAGTAAAACAAGACCAACTGCAACCACTATTTATTAAAGATGAGGAAGTGAAAGAGGTAAGCTCTTACAGGTATCTTGGAATACAATTGATAACAAGCTTGACTGGCATCCCCACGCTGCTCTTGTGCATAAAAAAGTAAATCAAAGAATGTTCCTTCGAAGGAAATTAAGAAGTTTCTTGTCGATAATAAGATTATGTCTTTGTTATACCATTCTATGATTGAAAGCGTGCTATTATTTCGTATATGCTGCTGGGCTGGGAATTGTAGGGTGAAAGATAAAGAAAAATTTCTCTTTGGGATAATCAAGTATAGTATTATCTTATCTTAAACAGAAAAGATGAACAGAAAAAAAAGTAAGATAGGCTAGACCGGCAGAGACATGAATAACATATGATACATGTATATAAACCTATATATGAATCTCTTTACTTTTACAACTGAACTTGCCCACTTCTCTTCTCAAACTTAACATGGCAAGTGTCAGTTTCAACAATGTGCAAGCTCTACATTATATATTGCCCACTTCTCTTCTCAAACTTAACATGGCAAGTGTCAGTTTCAACAATGTGCCAGCTCTACATTATATATTGCCCACTTCTCTTCTCAAACTTAACATGGCAAGTGTCAGTTTCAACAATGTGCCAGCTCTACATTATATATTTGTCCAGCTTTGTGTGTGTGTGTTTTAGACCAAACAGACCCATGAATTTATATAAAATTTGTATCAATTTCATTGAAATTCTGTCTTTCAACTTTGTGCAGATGCAAACACAATAAAAGAAACAATGTTTGGACAAAACGTATGCATAGCATTAGCTGAACATTAAAAAAAAGAAAATTTCAATACTCAATCGTTTTATTTCACAGAATTGTAAAAAGCCCCCTCATAAACGACATTACATGACATGTGCAAATGACTAAAGGGCATTATCTCAAACTGGAAATATTTTGGTTTATCTTGTGTACATGATATATTTTTTAAGGTAATTGACATAGAAGAAAGCTGCAGTTTAATGCATAGAATACAGTCAAGCCTGCTCTAATGATCATCTGTCCAAGACAATCACCTGTACAAACGACCACCTGTCAAAGACAATCACCTGTACAAACGACCACCTGTCCAAGACAACCACCTGTACAAACGACCACCTGTCCAAGACAATCACCTGTACAAACGACCACCTCTCCAAGACAATCACCTGTACAAACGACCACCTGTCCAAGACACTCACCTGTACAAACGACCACTTGTCCAAGACAATCACCTGTACAAACGACCACCTGTCCAAGACAATCACCTGTACAAACGACCACCTGTCCAAGACAATCAGCTGTACAAACGACCACCTGTCCAAGACAATCACCTGTACAAACGACCACCTGTCCAAGACAATCACCTGTACAAACGACAACTTCCCCCCCCCCCCATGTTTTTTCTATAAAAAACTAAAAATGATACTGCCCAAGCGGACCACCTGTCTAAGACTAAGATGACCACTGCTCTCCTCGAAAATGGGTTGTTGATTTGGATAGGCCCAACTGGACTCTCCTCCATGACTCATGGTGTTCGAGGACACATGATCTCTGTTCATCAACATTTCTCTACTATACCCAGGTTCAATCTTCAATAACATCATTCAACTGCTCAGAGGGGGCTCCCACAGGCGTCATTGGTTCAGTTTGGATCGGACTTGTCAGTTCAGGGTTAGCCGGATGGATGACTATAGAAAGAGTAAGAGCAAAACCGGCGGAACTGACAAAACTGACGATGATTTACAATGACAAATGTGTTTGTTTTCAAAGCGCATGCTGGGCGATCGGTTTGGGCAGTTGATCTATGATAGTGCGCAGTTGATCTATTCATATTGTGCAGTTGATCTATTCATAGTGTGCAGCTGACCTATTCATAGTGTGCAGTTGATCTATTCATAGTGTGCAGTTGATCTATCCATAGTGTGCAGTTGAGCTATTCATAGTGTGCAGTTGATCTATCCATAGTGTGCAGTTGATTTATTCATAGTGTGCAGTTGATCTATTCATAGTGTGCAGTTGATCTATTCATAGTGTGCACTGAAGTCGCCAGAAACCAAACCGAACCGATCCTCCGATGGACACCACCTATAAGTGTAAGACTACGCAATATGCCATTTTGAAAAGTGAAGTATGATAGAGTATTACGCTGAGCTGTCAATTGATATATAGGAATTCTCTTGTTTCTAGGCCTGTGATCAGTCCAGCCTCAAGAAACAAAAGTTTGGTATGGTCATAGAGATTGTGCGGTCTGAAACGTAACTTTACATGTGCAGGAACAATTGAACTTTATGTCACTTTCAAAACAGCTGAGCCATTTGACAAACAGGCAAGACTCTCTCCAGCCCTTGAAGCAGGTCCTTTTACTGAATAATCTACAACAATAATCTAAAAATTCAGGCATGTCTGCTAACATAGAGCTCCTACACTACAAAACACACAAACAAACATTTCCCTAGAAGATAAACACATCAAACTAAAAAAATCCTTAAAACTGGTTGCATAGATGGCACAGAAAATGAGAAAGACGAGGTGAAAAAAAAAAGCAATCTGTTACATCAATGGACAGAGAATACACATTCAAAAGAGATGAGATCAATACTGTGTAAACTGTAGGCCTGCACAGCCTTGAAAATATGTTCTAGAAACATTCACTAACTAACAGAGACACAAGCAGCTTCCTCTGTGAAAGAAAAATGCAAAGTTCAGAGGCTCAAATCAAACACTATAACTTTTCATGGCATTTCTGTTTTTATCACGTTCAAAGGAAACTTTTTTGTTCTCAATACAATATCATTTATAGATAGAGGTCTAGGCTGTCAATTTAGGTCAGAAAGCAAGTGGCATTCCTTTCACAAGAAACATGACATTTGAGAAAGGTCCATAATAATAATTTTTTAATATTCAGAAATTGATGAAAAGAGAAATTTATAAATGTCTTACAGTATTTTAAAAATCAGTTTATTATCGGGATATCTCCGATGATACCCGACATTCCTCCAAGCAAGTAAAACTGTTCAGCACACACCTATTCTAATGATGAATATACAAATTTTCTTTGACGATGGACCAAGGAAAAACATTTACTAATTTATTTCTTAAAAACTAATGAAGAAGATATCTTTTAAAATCCTTGCAAATAACTTACCAAATTTATAACAATGTAGAAAACCTTAGAAAACAAGGTAAACATGTATAACAATAAAGATATTTCGGAGTATTATGATAAAGCAATATCACATTTCATTGTTCTCTTTTCTAGCTGCAACAATACGAAAAACAAACAATATAACATCAAAGCTCACTTTTGGGAGGACATTTCCCATGACACATGTACTCCTCTCCAAACTCCAGAGCAGCCAACTTGACCACCTGATGGTCAGTGAGCTCCATCTCGACAAAATGTCTCTGGTATACGGTAATGTTAGCCACTGCTCTATAGCTCTCTAAGCAGCCTGGTCTGAAGCCTTTGTACTGTGGTGTAAACAGACAATCGCTAAACGAGCCCAGAGGAGCTGACAATTGGTAAATAACTTTGCACTCAAGGCTCTCGGACACTAGAGTTGCAGTGTTTGAGCAACCGTCACTCGTCAAGTGATGGACACTGTTGGCTGGGGAGAAGCTGCAGTGAATTCCCTTATTGGGGTTTCTATACCCTGACAGTTGAGCTTTCAGGTCGACACCCAACTCTGTGACAATCCCTGACGAGATAGCAAATGAGACATTTGTCCATGGGTCCACTCCTTCTGACCAGATCCAAGCTTTGGGAAAACTTTTCCCCCAGTCCTTCTCCATGTGAGCCACGACTGGAACACCGTTGTGGTCAGGTCCACTTAAAGTCTGTCCCGTCAGTTTGTTGATATATTCATAGTGAACCACGTTTGACCTTAGACTGTAGACAAACCAATGAATGGGCAAGGGCAGATATTCTAACCAACCCTCTGGACCCTCCCCATTTGGCCCCCAAGGAACAGGACTAGAGGTGGATCCACGGAGAACAATGTTTCCTACGGTCAAAGAGAAGGTGGTGCCACTCGGTTTCACAACAAAGGTGACATTGTCTCCAATTTTAGCTTCAAAGCTAGGTGGGGTCGCATCATCAGGGTTCTCCTCAACTGGTTTTCCCTTTTTTGTGATGACGTAATCCTCAGGCTCAAAGAAACCAGTGACAGCTTGAAGCTTTGACTTCGGGCCAGAATTGATCAACAAGCTAGAGTACACAAGAGGAAGGGATCCATTCATAAAGTTATTCTTCACATTATCTCTTACCTCCTTACATCTCTCAGAGGTAAAAAGTAATTTCAATGATTCATCTTCACATGGAACTGAAGAGGCACTTTTAGTAGGAAGGACACGTCCAAACAACCATCCGAAAGAACGTTCATTGCCGGCATCAATTATCCTCATGTACCTGGGGAAATTACGGAAAATAGGAATACCAAGTGTAAAAATTATTATATGCAAGAATTAGACATAAATTATATGTTTCCGCTACTCATACAAAGGCATAGATGATTGCACAGGCTGCACGCAGACAGATAATTACAAGCACAAAAGTACACAGCAGAGCAAAAAATAGTATGTCTGAGATGTTCAGAAGACAAGGATGAAGTAAAACGCACTGAACAACGATTTGTACTCGAAACAGGAAAATGGCCATTCCTTGTACTACTTGTGTCGCCCTGTATTGACACTACATCTGAATATTACCAAACGTCAAGTGTTTGTTGATACCTATTGAAATTAAAAGTAAATTACTAATTAAACGAAGAGAAAGGTTGCCTCTAACAAAAAAAAGAAAAATGAAAAATAATGCACAATGGCTCTATCACTACTTTGAGTTTTTTGGGGGGGTTTTTCTTTTCATTATTCATCATTCCTATGTTCTGTGTGTCCATGTCAGTTTCCTGGTTCCTGAAATGGCGGAAAAGCTTACCATCCTTCAAAGAAAGGACCTTGATCTGGATATACATGAGGGTCCATCTGATTTCCCCAGCAAAGCCCAGGGAAAGCTGCCAACATTATCATCATCAAGTGAAGTGAAGTTTCTCTAACTTTCATGCTTTGTTTTGTCATTTTTCTCTCCACGAAGATTCAATCTGAAAAAGGAAAAGAAAGTATAAGAAAAAGTATGTGTGTATAAATAGCAATTGGGGAGCAAAAATGGAGAAAAGAAGGAACGCAGTTGAAAGTATTATAAAAAGCCCAAGTACTGTTTTCCAAGATTTTATACTGGTATCTGCTGAGTAGCAGTTATGACTTTGTCATTGTATTAAGAAGATGTGAGTTCCATTCAAGGAAAACTTTATGGAGTGTCTCCATCTTTTTGCAGGGAAGTCCGGGAAGTTATATCCCTCTCAGCGCGGGTGAGCCGAGACAGGCAGAACCGAAGTACCTCTTAAATTATCTAAATTGCGTCTCTATACAGGTGTAAAACAGATTTTTACAATATCATTATACCCCATGTAATTTACGTTTTTGTCTTGTTTAAATTCAGAGTCCATATCACAGCTAATATTCCCCGTTAAAAAAAAATTGTTTGCACAGAAGTTTATAAATATAACCAAATGTTATTCATTCTTAAGGTTAAGGTTAAGGTAGCTTTGGCTTTATCCACCAACTAATAACAATCAACACAGTTAAAACATATATATATAAGAGCCTTCAAAAACACATGCTTTCCATTTGCAGAACATTTGCTCTATTCTCTTTTCTTGATGGGTTTATCAAGATCAGAATTAAGAAACTGATGGATATCTCTGTTAAATACAGTATAACATTTCACATTGATTGGTATACTATACACGTAGCATTCTACAAACACAGGGGGGAAAAGGCAGAGGTTCTAATGGTTAGCAAGTGTTTTCAAATGGAATAAGGCTATCTCTTTCATGTGAGGAAAGTAAGTGAAAGAATAGTCACAGTTTCAGGCCCAAGAGCTTTAGATTTAGAAAAATAATAGTTACATGAGAGGGGATGGGAAACATGTGTAGTGAGTTGAAACTAGGATGCCTAAGAACACACACATACAATTTTGAATGTCCTCCAAGGAAATAATTTGGATTCATAAAGGCATGAAAATCAAATTAATACAATGATAATATAATGATGACAGCATATATGTTTAACAAAGAAAAACCCTAACTAACAGAGAATTAAAAGAACTTGTCCCTACTTTCTCTTGGAAAACGGGAAGGAAAGGACTTCTACCCTGGGGGAAAATAATCAAATATACTTTTATTTAATCTACAAGAACTGGGAGTCCTCAAGATAAGTTATCAGCATGAACGGTAAAGTAACAAAACTGATCAGAATAGAAAAAGCATCTGCACTGAAATGACTGACTCTGTCTTAGTAGACAAAGAAAACCAGAAATAGTGTGTTCTATAAAAGTTGCTGTGGGGATGTAACATGCATAGACAGAGAAAGATCTTGTTAGTTTGTTTGTGTTTCAGCACTTAATCAGCTGCTTGCACTGTTGCTTCCCGGGAAACTGAGAATGTTTCTGAGTGTTTTATGGTCTGCTAGGGTAAGAATATATTATAGTGTAAGCATCTTAAAATTGCTGTCAAGCAGGGTACAATGCGCTATACAAAAGCTATTTATAATTCATTATTACCTTGTGAGATTATGAATGTAAATGTAGTTGTTGTAGGGAGAAATAATTAACCGTCCGTCAGCCACAAGTCAAGTGGCTATCAGAATAGGAGGAGGTCAAGTCGTGGGTTCTGAGGTTGTCTTTTATAGAGTGGGTCCAGTGACGTTTTGGTTTTCTTCTGTTTCTCCAGCCAAAGTGTCTTGTACACTTCCACTGCAGGTTGGTCTGGGAGTATTCTTGATTGCTGAACTATTATATAAATATATAGTCTATATCTATTGAGTCTATTGAATTATGTTGTTACATATATATAAGCTCTTGAATCTATTTTTCTAACCCCTTTAATGGATCTGCTTGTCGCTTGTGGCAATATAGTGGTAACTTGACATTTTCAACGTCTTTGTCTTGTTGAATGTAAGCGCTGCCAGCTCTGTGGAAATTGTCCAGCCACAAGCGAAAAAACTTGTCCTTTGGTTCACAAGTGACCTGAGTACGCTGACTGGGGTGAAATCTAATCTAAGTCCGGGAATGAATGTAATGTTTAGGCATGACTAAAGTTTAGTCTTTATTCTTATTGAACCCCCGTCATAAGAGGACAGTGAAGGACATGGGTTGAGGTTCATTTATTATAAAGATTCAAAAGAACTGTCACGAAGTTTTAAAAAAAATTTAAAAAATAAATAATTCAAAAACAAAATTACTTAAAATATAAAAATACATAGGCTAAGCATTGTTTAGTTACATGCAAGCATAGGCCTACCTCGTTCTGCTGATTGTTATTGGTGTTTTAAATTTGACTATATGAATAGGTGAGGGCCTATGAGTCAGGACTTATTTACATAAATAACATGATTCATTGTGTAACGAGAAGACAGACAACTGTACAGTACAGTGGATAGTGAGTGGTTTGGTAAGAACTGAAAGTATCAGTGGGCAATGATGTCTTACAAAATGGGATTTAGATCTAGATCTAGATCTAGATTTAGATCTAGTCTACATTGGGTACACCAATAAACTAAAGACAAGAGTATTCAGAAGTATTATTTTAAACAATTATTCTCTTCTACACTTACTTTCAGATTCAAAATGCACTCTCTTTATGAAGAGATCGACTCTTCTCTGTTCGATCAACTTCTCTTGGCCTTTGACTTTTGACCCTTCCAGCCTTCCTCACAAGTGACACAAAATAAACAATTATCAGAACCTCCTTCCTTTCGCCGCGCCTAAGATCTAGTATTACAATTGATGAACGCACATTATTTTGTTTTTGTCGCTGCTTTAAAGCTAAAATTGGCCTTGACAATTAAGTAACACTTTCGGTCAGTGTAGACCAGACAGCGGTCAGAGCAAAAACCGAACTTTAACGAATAACTTGAACTTCCGAATAGCCTAAGTTGTTTCTTGCAGTCAAAGATAGTACAAGACGTTGCAGTTCCACGAAGCTTTAACTTTTTACATGACAGTCATGGCAGTTTGGTGAACTTGACTCGCCTCACTGGTCAGTCAGAAAAAAAATAATAAATACATTATTATTATGGTCCGTCAGTGCTGACACGGCGAGGGCAGTTTGGTCCCGGGCCATCGGGTTAATTTAAGGGGTGGTGGGGGAATCACTATCAAAGCTCCTCGAAACAGTGAACGTTGTTTATAGCTCGGTAGCTTATCTTACACTTGTTTCTTTTTTCGACCTTCTTTTTTTTATCTCCCGCGGCTGTTCATGCCTTGAAATCTTTGAGTGTTACCCCAAGCTTGAAATAGCAGCCACCTTGTTAAAATTAATTGTCCGCATATTATTTGGAAACTACTTTTTAGAACTAGAAAATAGAAACGTAATGAAAATCAACGAGCACTGTTGGTATTGTGTCCTTGGTGTAAAGAATGCGAATTTTTACTCTCTTTGCATTTGGCATGCATGGTCTGGTTAGAATCGTAGGCTAATAGTTTATGATGGATGCATAAATGAAAGTGATTTGATTCGCAGTATGATCCAAGACCGTTCCCACATGCAATTCTGACATTTTGA